TATGAACATCAGCAGTCTCTTCTCTGCTCAATGCCACTCGGGGGGACCGACGGCATATCTCTAGGTGGTTTTCGATTTGGAATGGAAGAAACCAATCAGAAATGGCTAGGGTTGTTGCTTACTGTGCATCCTGCATTGCAATGCAAACAAAAACGGAGACACAGCGCTCAGGCTTTGCATCTGGCAGGCCCAACTCGCCTGGCCTGGTCTTGCCTTGCCGCTACAACAGGTGGGCGATACCGACCAGGGGTCAGCCCGTAGCATCAGGACCGAGCTTCTTCGATGGGCCAGTCACTGTGCCTCCCCTGTGGTCCCCTCCCATTATGAACATCAGCAGTCTCTTCTCTGCTTTGAACCGACGGCATATCTCTAGGTGGTGGGCGCCAAGCTTGCCCAGGAAGGTACATGAGGCCAATGGGGATTGAACCCAAGACCTCCTGAATGCCACTTGCATGCCTTAGCCAGGGCAGTTTCATAGGAGAAGGAACAAAGAAAAAAAAAATAATAATAATAATAATAAAAATAAAAAATAAAAAATCGGACGTAGTCTCTATAACCACCAGATACGTTCTATGAGGTATTCCTGTGACTGTGCTCTGAGGGAGGGTGTTTATGGACGAACAACCCAAAAAAAAAAAAAACCCTCTTCATCGAGTGAACCAAATGGGGGCCCCAATTTCAGCTCAGTCTTCGTCTCGTACGGGCACGCAGGACGTATCGGGTCAGCAGCACCACTGTCTGGAAATGACTGCTGATGTTCTCAAGCCACATATGGGTATTTTGCGATTTTTGCATTAACACCCCCCCCCCCCCCAAAAAAAAAAAAAAAAGAGCTCCCTTGTTCTGTGGGCGGGTACAGGGTGCTACAGCGTCGAGACAGTACAACGAACCCGAACAAAAGCAAAACAACAAAAAAAGTAAACTCTTCCACAAATGGTGGCCAGATACATTCCTCAAAGAACGGCTGCAACTGCCACCCTCCTGAGGGCCTTTCCCCTGCCTGGCTGGCAGGGGACTACAACGAACCCCAACATAAGCAAAACAACAAAAAAAGCAAATTCTTCCACACATGGTGGCCAGATACATTCCTCAAAGAACTGCTGAAACTGCCACCCTCAGGCCTTCCCCTACGTCCATGCATTTGAAACTCCGTTTTTTTTTTCCTTTTTTTTTTCTTCTTGTTTCCTTTCTTTCTTTTTCGTCGGCCTCTAAGCCTAAACTTGCCCAATTGCCCAAAGCCTTCGAAAAGCCTGTTCGCCCGAAAAGGAAAAACAGGTAGCCGCCCATCAAAAAACCCCACCGACCTGACGAAACGACCTATTGCCCAAAGTCTGCAACGACCGGTCTGTCTCCTAGCCCCGACCGCACCCTTCCCGCCTCCCTCTAAAAACCAAAAACACCCCCGCCAACCTCAAATGAATCCCACGACATTTCCCGAAAGGGCAAAAAAAGCTTGCAGTCAAGGTAAGTGCAGCCTCTGGCTGCGAACATAACCATCCTTTTCAACAACCAATGTCCTCCTCCACTCCATGTGAGCATTTGCTCCTACGGCTTCTCAGTGAGACTCCAATAACACTTAACAGAGCTAACTCGTCTTAAAAAGCACAGGGAGAGCTCACATCATATGATCAGCAAAGATCTTAAACACCCAATCATATCCCACCAGTTCCTCTCGAGTCTAATACGGCTCTATACTTAGTTCCCACAAACATATCTTCAACAGGCTCCCTCTGCAGTTCCAACTGTAAGCCCTCATCTGGTAGCACCACATCTTCTTCAGGGTGGTTTCAACCACTGTGAAAAAGAAAGTTTGTGATCTGTAGAGACTGAGACAAAGCTACCCCTGTTCGCTGCTGCAGAATCTGCTATTGGGCTCGGTATTCTTGTTATTACTTAACCAATTGGAAGCACATTTTTCATGTACAAGCGCATTTTCAACACTTTGAAACCTTATCCCACGTCCCCATAAACCACCGGAAGCCTTTTCTCTTACTTTTGTAGGTGCCTTGCCAGTCAGCCATGATTGTTCGCCGGATGTTGTTTATTATCTGGTGCCGTTGTTCTTGGAATGCAACCTTTTTATTCTTGAATGCCTGCGAATTCCTGGCCCTCCATATTTCTTGTAGTATAATTCCTCTACATGCTAGGGCCACGTATCCCCAGCCACTGTGATAGCTCCCTTCCTTGATTGGCAGGATCCCATACAGCCACTGTGATTGTTCCAGTTTTAACGGATGTCCCGAAGGACACCACAACTGGATATACAAGGGATTGAACAAAAAAAGGGCCAAGCGCGTCTGACTGCTCCGCGGGTGCGCCCATTTCCCCAAATCTCCGTTTGGTCAATTGATAGGCCGCTAATATCTTGGGGTTTCATTTTTTTTTCTCCAATATCACGGGGTTCCATTTTTTTCCTCCAATTTTGCACGGTAATTCAGGGGTCAAGTTCGCAGTCAGGATGGCTGCGTATAGATTATAGATGTGTTTTGTGCTGTGAATGTACACAGCCTATCTTTAGGGTCGGGTGGGGACGAGTACACACAGCTACGTTGTCCAGCTGCATTCACAATGTTGTCGGA